AGGGTCTTATAAGGTTTAGGGCTTAAGGGGTTTAAGGGTTTAGGGATATTTTGGGTTCTAGGGGTTTAGGGGTTTAGGGTTTAGGGGTTTAGGGGTTTAGGGATTTAGGGTTTAAGGGTTTAGGGATTTAGGGTTTTAGGGTTTAGGGCTTAGGGATTTAGGGTTTAGGGTTTGGTTTAGGGTTTGGTTTAGGGTTTGACGTTTCGAGTCTCGGGTTTCGCAGGGGTTTAGGGTCTAGGAGTTGTGGTTCAGGGTTTGGGGGGTTTGCGGTTTAGGGGCTTCGGGCTCAGGGTTGTTAGGGTTTAGGTCTACTCGTAGGGTTTAGAATTTAGCAATTAGGATATGGGTAGTTTTGTAAATTAGGGTCCCTCTTCAGGTCCCAAATAAAGTACGGCACCTGTATAAACCGGACCCCAAAAGGGACCCCCAATTGAGAAAACTACCCATATAGGGTTTGGGGGTTTGGGGTTCGCGTGTTGGGAGGGCTTTCAGGTGCTCAGGGGTTTCGGGTTTCAGGGACCCAGAGCTTAATATTATGATTTAAGGTATATTCCTTAATTAAGGGGTATTGGGCTCTCTGGGGACAGGGGCTGGTGGGTGCTGTAGAGAACCATGGATTGATCCTGATATTGTGCTTGTGCTGCAGCTCCACGCACAGTACTTCTCAGGTGGTAGAAACGGGTATGCCCTAAACCCCTAAACCCCAAACCCCTGGACACTAAACACTCTAACCCCAAAGCCCCGGAGAAGCCGTAGTAGACTTCCATGACCTCAGCATGGTAGAACGATGCGAAAAGCCCAAGAGAAGCTGTTCCTAAAGGGCAACGCGTTATTCGTATCCATTAAGGTTTCTAAAATGATTGAAGGAGCCCGAAGGACCCTAAACCCTAAACCCTAAAAGCTATAAAGGCCTTCCTAAACCCTAAACCCTAAACCCTAAACCCTAAACCCTAAAAGCTATAAAGGCCTTCCTAGGCCTATGCGGAGTTCTATGGGTTTTTGTCTCTCACCTCTTCGTCAGACCATTTCTTGGCCCTCGGAGCTCCTAGAGAGGGCCCCTCTTAAAGGGTTGAGGGTTTAGGGTTTAGGGTTTAGGCTTGAGGGTTGAGGGTTTAGGGTTTAGGGTAAGAGGGTACTATGATAGGCTTCCTTTGGGCTCTTTTAAAAGGGATCCTATAAGGGTTCCTGCAGAGCTTCAGCTTGCGGGGGTCGTCGAGGTGGTCAGGCGTATGCCAGAAAAACTGGAAGGGTTTTGATGGAGCTTCTACCGGATTCGGGTTGAGGATTTTGGGCTTTAGGGCTGGGGCTCTGGGCTTTAGGGTTGAGGCTTGAGGGATGAGGGTTCACCAGGGTTTGGGGTTTAGGGTTCAGCCGAGGTAGTGGACCTGCCACAGCGGCCACAGACCACTGACAATCCTGGCCCGGGCCCCTTTATGGGGGACCCTTCGGAATGCTCTTTCGCTTCTGCCCTGGGGTTGAAGGGTTTTGGGTCTAGGGGTTTAGGAGTTTAGGGGTTTAGGGTTTTGGGGGTTTAGGGTTTAGGAGTTTAGGGGTTTAGGGTTTTGGGGGTTTAGGGTTTAGGAGTTTAGGGTTTAGGGGTTTTAAGGTCTTACCGGCTGGTTCGAACGGGTTAACTTACACACAAAGGTCCGCAAGGTGTGCCACGGCTACGTAAAGCGCTCTGCGCCACATGGCAATCGCAAGAACTACGCTTGTACCGTTAGCTGACACGTTGCAGTGGCAGCTTTTTTCATTGTACATAATTCTACGGTAGGTTATGTTCACGCCCTGGTACTACTATATTACGGTGCCCTGATTTATCATTTAACTACTTCATTGCATCGCTACAAGTTTTAAATTAACCTTGATATTGCTTTATCAGGTTATTGTATTAATTTTTATATCACATATCTCGGTTACACTTTTGTGCCTCTGAACCAACCAGCCATGATTGAGGCCACCACCAGCCTCGGCCACAACAATCAGCGAAGATGGTTCGGAGCTCGAATATTGGGGCTTATAGGATGTAGCGTTTAGGGTTTAGGGAATCACGGTTTCGGGCTGTTTAGTATAGGAGCCTAAATAATTAGCAATAGTATTTTGCGGGTTGCTTATTGTAATTGTAGTATAATGGGCCCCAAAACCCTGCTTGAAATTAATTAAGGTCTCTATATTAAGTACTAAACCCTAGTCCCTAAACCCTGGATCACGGCACGCATGGAGTAGTCTTTGCTGTCTCTGGTAAAGCCTACAGCTCAAGACTCGGATGCCTCATACTGAAAGAGAGGATGGCAAAAGATATCCTTGGGAGCATTGGTGAGAGTGTATTTCGGGTGTTACTTTGAAAGGACTACTTGAAGGTTCATGGGTAGTTATAACTGGGGTAATAAGTCCCCTAATATGAGTTATAAATATAGTTACACTACTTATAACCCTACTTATAACTACCCATGAACTTCCAAGTAGTAGTAAAAGCACTACCTGAGGTCCCTAAACCCTAAACCCGTAAACCCTAAACCCTAAACCCGTAAACCTTAAACCCTAAACCGTAAACCGGTGTTGCTTCTGAGGCATGGATTGCGAGAGCCAACCATGTGCCCTTAGACACTTGCCTCGCCCTCAGCATCAACGGCAGGTGGCACCTTGAGAGCATTGCAGCGATTCTGTTGGGTGCTCTTGGTTCCACGATTTAGCAAAGCGTTTTCCAGTTAGGAGACACATATGCATCCCCAGAGAGCCCAATACCCCTTTAATAAGGAATATACCTTAAATCATAATATTAAGGCCCCTATATTTTGAGGTATATTCCTTATTTAAGGGCTCTTGGGCTCTCTGGGTCATGCGTGCATGACACGACCTGCAGGTTTACAAGCTGCTGACCTGCGGGGGCCTCAGATTCGCTTAGCATGGCCTTCGGAATGAAGGCCCCAACTATAGCAGCCTGAAGAATTCGTTTAGGGTTTAGGGTTTAGGGTTTAGCGTTGCTGATGATATAATACCTTTAGGGCCCCAAAACTATGGGAATTGTGGTATCTTCCTTATTATGGGAAATGCAGGATTTATATCATCAACCCTATGATTCCCTATTGCCCAGAGGTTTCTATACCATCCCCAACACCCCAAGCACAGCTCCCAACCAGAAGCGCCTGAGGAGTCTGTAGTCATGTAGGGAGGGGCCTAAAGAGGGTTGAGGGTTTAGGGTTTAGGGGTTTAGGGGTTTAGGGTTTAGGGTTTAGGGGTTTAGGGTTTAAAGGTTTAGGGTTTAGGGTTTAGGGTGTAGGGAGGGGCCTAAAGAATTACCTATACTATTTTGCGGGGGGGTTCCTTAGTATACTTATAGCATATTGGGTTCCAAAACCTTATTCTAATTATAAAGGCCCCTAAACCCTAAGCCCTTATAGTAGCACCCAGAGCCCTATTCTAATTATAAACGCCCCCTATAAAACTGCTTCTTCGGGCTCCTGCTGGAGATCATCGCGCAATAGACCCCAAAACCCTAGAGGTTTAGGCTTTAGGGTTTTAGGGGTTTAGGGTTTAGGGTATTCCAAGTTTGGAAACCCCTACACTAGACCCTTACAGAACATTCCAATTCTTCAGGCCCTTGTAGTTTCCCTGAACCAAGGTTCCTAGAGCAAGTTGCCGCGCTGGAGAAAAACTTGAATATCGACCAGCTCCTCCGGCAGAAATCCTAAACCCTGAACCCTGAACCCTAAATCCTAAACCCTGAACCCTAAACCCTTAACCCAAAGCGGGCTTAGCGATGAAGGCTGGGGAATTTCGGGCCTCGGGTTTCGGGTTCAGGGTTTCAGGGCCATATGTAGCATCATTTTCATTAAAAATTATTCATATGTGTCTTATTTTTTATTCTTTTAGTATTATTCCTGTTTCTCTTCTTATTGTTCTTGTTCTTAGGATTCTTACTACTATTGTTCTTGTTATAAGGATTAAGGATCTCTGAACAATCGGCTGTGGGTTCAGGGGTTTAGGGTTTAGGGTGAAAGCTTGATGTGGTAAGTGGCCTTTGGGGGTTCAGAAGCCAAGATTGTAGGAATTTGCGCTTGTGTGGCCCAGTCCTTGCTTTTTCCTGCTGCCCCGGAGGAAGAGAATCTTAACTTATGGAGGGTTGGGTAAAGGGTGATGGCGTACTGTTGCAGCATGTTTTTCGGCTAGGTGCTTCCAGCTGACACGCTGGATGCCTACCGGGAGTCAAGTTTGCGGAGATGTTGCGCACGTGGGTTGGTTGAGCATGGTAAAGTTTGCATCTGGTTTAGTACGAGTATCACACACTCACACATATTTACACATATATGTGCGTATACATATATATATATATATGTATGTATGTAGGTGTAGGTACATGTATACGCTCGTATCGGAAAGAGAGTGAATGTGTGCGTGAGTGCGTGCGTGAGTGAGTGAGGGAGGGAGTGAGTAAGATAACGCATGCAAGGGCTCGGATTTGGTTTTGGTTTGCATGTATGCAGGTGCAATGATTTATATTCCACAACCGTGGAAGTTAAGCATGTAGGGCTCATGTTTCAGATAGCCACAGCATGCGTGAAGTCGTGAGGACATCGCAGCATGACGCACTTGCCAGTTCATTCTACTGAAGACATGGCGTGTCCTACTTGCTGAAGCACCAGGTGCAATGTCTCATCTATCTGTGTATAAGCGAAGGTATTTTCCCATAGCCTTTCTCTGGATACGCGGAACAAGCCTGCATCACACGCGTTAAAGGTGGCGTTTGGAAGAGCTTTGAAAGAACATATGGCGGGAACCTCTGATAGAATCGTACAGAAGATGCAAAGCAATACTGTGTACTGTCTCAAGCAGCTGTGGGTGTCAGTGGCAATGTGATTGCAAGTGTTGATTGCAGTCTTATGGCATCTGATGGCTTGTCGCAAGACGTGCTGCTGAGTCTTGCGGGGAGGATTCTTGTGCCACGTATGACGATCCTGCCCTGCCTGCATCATACAGCACTAGCACGAAGCACTACCCGACTGGCAGCACTACGTCGCACGCACTGAGCCATGCACAGGGTAACCGGCAAGCTCACGGGATCTTTAGGAATATAAGAGCAATGACAATGCAGCATCAGGGTTATTAAGGCTGCTCTGATTCCCACGATCGTTATGACTGACCAGTTTCCTTGTGCTAAAGCAAAATGGGATATCACACAGCAGAAATTGGATGCATGTCAGGTTCGGCAAGTGTCGCTTGGCAGAAACTACTCCGGGGATGTACGCAGACCTCAGGAACTGTGAGCGAGTGGTTAGGGCAGAGGGTTTAGGATTGAGGAGTGTGCGGGTTTAACGAGCTGTCTTGCATCTGACCGGAACCCTAAACCCTAAACCCTAAACCCTTCTTGAGGCCTGCTCCATTGCACTGGAATGGATTCTCTGGACGAGCTGCCACAGAATCTGCTGCGCCATGCCTTCGCTGTCGCAGACAAGGATAAGACTCCGGGCGCGATGGGTTTAGGGTTTAGGGTTGAGCTAGTGCGATCTTATAGGATTCGGACTAACGAGCAACTAACAGACAGTATCCCCCTTGTGTTCCCTATAGAACCTGTGAGAAGGCCACAATTTCCATTAGATTGGCTTACGGCCTACCTGGGCCCTTAAGAACCTCCGCTTCTTAGGGCTCCCTATTACGATTCCTGACGTGGGGGCCTTAATAAGTAGAATAGGGTCTTGAGGGTTCCTTATTATTGTTAAAGTCTAATATACCCCCAAACCCTATTCTACCTATGAAGGCCCCTACATTATATATATATATATATATATATATATGCTTCCTTAAAAAGGTCGGTTCTTTGGGGTCTAGTATATATATATATACTTCCTTAACAAAAGAGTAGGTTCTTTGGGGTCTACTTGGAGGTTCATGGGTAGTTATAAGTAGGGTAACTATAATTATAACCCCTATTAGGGGACTTATAACCCCACTTATTCCTACCCATGAACCTCCAAAAACCCTAAACCCTAAACCCAAGCCCCACTTATAACTACCCATGAACCTCCACAAACCATGAACCCTAACCCTAAACCCTAAACCCTAACCCCACTTGGGGTCTAGTATGTATATATATATATATATATATTTATTTATTTATATTTATATATATATATTGACATACATATACTTCCTTAACAAAAAGGTAGGTTCTTTGGGGTCTAGGTACTTGGAGGATCCTGGGACTTAGTAACTAGGGTCATAAATAAGGTAACTGAAATTATAGGCCCAATTAGGGTACCTATAACTTTACTTGCTAAGTCCCATGATCCTCCAAAAACCTAAACCCAAACCTTAAACCCTAAACCCTAAACCCTGACCCTAAACCCTAAACCCTAACCCCACTTATAACTACCCAAAAAAACCTCCAAGTAGACCCTAAACCCCAGTTATAACTACCCATGAACCTCCAAGTAAGCAGGTACTTTATAGGAACCCCCTTAGGGGATCTATTTCTTAGATCCTTTTGGGGTCTGGGTTAATATATTTATAGTATATTGGGTTCCAAAACCTTATTCTAATTATAAAGGCCCCTAAACCCTAAACCCTTATAGTAGCCCTTATAGAACCCTTTAAGGACTTAGATCCTTTTGGGGGTCTGGGTAGGGCTTCTGGAGCCGAGGAATGGTTCTATCTCCTTCCCGGAGTTCGTGACCTGGTTTTCCACGGTGGCTCTGCTTTCCTTGGAGGTTTTCTTTGGGTAGCTATAAGTTAGGGTTTAGGGTTTAGGGTTAGGGTTTATGGTTTTTGGAGGTTTTTTTGGGCAGCTATAAGTTAGGGTTTAGGGTTTAGGGTTTAAGGTTTGGGTTTAGCGTTTTTGGAGGTTTTTTTGGGCAGCTATAAGTTAGGGTTTAGGGTTTAGGGTTTAAGGTTTGGGTTTAGCGTTTTTGGAGGTTTTTTTGGTAGTTGTAAGTTAGGGTTTAGGGTTTTTGGAGGGTCATGGGTCGTTATAAGTGGGGTTAGGGTTTAGGGTCTAGGGTTTGGGGTTTAGGGTTTTTGGAGGTTCATGTGTAGTTATAAGTGGGGTTTGGGTTTAGGGTTTAGGGTTTAGGGTTCGGGTTTAAGGTTTTTGGAGGTTCATGGGTAGGTAGAAGTGGGGTTATAAGTCCCCTAATAAGGGTTATAATTATAGTTGCCCTACTTGTAACCCTACTTATAACTACCCATGAACCTCCAAGTACTGAGGGCAATTTGCTGCAAAATGTGCCGAGATGCTGCTGATGATATAAGATCCTGCAGTACCTTAAAGGGCCCTAAACCATGGGGATATGACATATTCCTTATTATTGGTAATGCAGAATTTGTATCATCAACCGTAGTCCAGAGCTACAGGTGCACAGACCGCCAAAGGGGAAGGAAGCACAAACCCTGGTACCCTTAACCCATGACCTTAACCCAAAACCCAAACCCCCAAAAGGATCTAAAAAATAGATCCCCTAATTAGGGACCCTAACTACTAAAGGGTACTTGATAGGAACCCCCTTAAAGGATCTATTTTTTTAGATCCTTTTGGGGGTCTGGGAAGCACTGAGGTAGGATTCACAAACCCTGGTACGCTTAACCCTAAACCCTAAACCCTAAACCCCAAACCCTAAACCCTCAACCCTCAACCCTAAACCCTAAACCCCTAGCAATGAGGTAGGATTCAACACCAACGTCACCTTATCGGCCAAAGAGCGATCCTTTCGCGAGTTTTGCGCTGAGAATGCGCTTAGAGCCTTGGCTATTGGGGTGTGATATGGGGGTTTCCGAAAATTAGGGTACCTTATTTTGGGGTCCTTATAGTAAGGATCCGATTATTTAGGGTACTATAGTAGGGTCCCCTATTTTCGGAAACCCCCATATATGTCAACCACCACATCCAGATAATATTGGGGCCTCAATAATTACCTCTGCTATGTTGGGGGTACCTTATTACAACTATAGTACAACATACCCCAAAACCCTATTCTAGTTATTAAGGCCCCTAAACCCTAAACCCTTTGTAGCAGCCCTTACAGAACCCTTTAGAAGGAACCCCAAAACCCTATTCTAGTTATTAAGGCCCCTACAGTAGCCGGGTTCCATCCAGGCTTGGGCTGGGCGGTTGTTGCCGGTCTCAGGCTGGACATGAGCGGGGGCTAGGCGAACAAAGACAAACAATTTCGATTTGTTTGTGGGTTTAGGCACTAATATTTAGGGTTTAGGGTTTAGGCACTAATATCGAAGCCTCAATAATTACCTATCCATTTTGGAGGGTTTCCTTATTGCAATTATAGTATAATGGGCCCCGGCCCTACATTATGGGTAGATTCGAGTCCTTGTTAGGGACCGTTGTATCAGGGTGCCGTGCCATTTTGGGGGACCTAGAAAGAGATCCGAATTTAGATAACTACCCTTATCGAAGCTTGAATATTTACTGATACTACTCCTGCTTCCTACTCTAAGTTTGATTAACAAACCCACAGCCTTATACTAATTGTTAAGGCCCCCTTATTACTTCGCGGTTCAATCGTGGCGGTGCACGGCATTCTTTTTGAGACTTTTGGCTGGCACGGATTATTGACTGTGGATGGACCCCGACCGGTGGGCAACGTAAATTCCGTCACCTCCATAAAACGTCTTCACAAGACCTTATTGGAACTTGCACGCCGGTGTCCCGAGCCTTATTATAGTGGCTCTCGGGGACAGGTGGGTATCGCCCACCCGAAAGGCACCACCATCTAGAAATTTCAGACAATCGTAGCACGTCGTCCTCATAAAGCATCCTGGCATTCAGGATTCCATATATTGAGGTCTTATCCTATCAGGATGTGCATTTTTTTGAGCTGCACATAGATGGTAAAGTAGACCCACTCCCATGAAATTGGGGGGGGCAGGGGGCGTCGGGGTTGGAATTAGGGGGCTTTGCTTAATCACGATAAAGTAGGGGCCTTAATAATACGAATAAGGTTTTGGGGGGTTCCTTGTTATAACTGTAGCATAATATACCCCAAGCCCTATTCTAATTGTTAAGGGCCCTGCATTTTTCGGATCTCCGCGTTTCTGGAACTCCCATCCGAGGTCTGGTCGACATGGACAGGTATAAGAAGTACTTCGTGCCTGGTCAGCAAAAGACGGCCTCGCAACGTGTGTGGTCCCGGATAGGCGAATTAAAGCCGAAACCCTAAGCCTAAGGCCTCAGAGAAGTGGTGTGGGCACATGAGGCCCTCAGGCTCACACCAAGATTGTTGAAAAGCGTCGGATCTCTAAGCTGTTGCAAGAGCTGCAGGCTGAATATGACATGGACGAGAGCGGCGAGATTGACCAGGAAGAGTTTGAGGCATTGATCAGGACCCGCTGACGTCAAACAAATTGCAATGTGCTGCAGTCAGCAGGGTTTTTTCACCAAACGGCTTGCCTGAACTCAATGTTACGTCGCCCTGCCTTCACGCTGAAGTAACCATACTCGCATATGTGCACACGCATACATGTACATACATACATACATACATACATACATACATACATACATACGAATCAGTCAGTCAGTCACTCAGTCACTCAGCCCGTCATATTCTGATCTGATAGGATGTGATCTGATCTAACCTGATACGACATGCTGTCATGCGATGTGATACATTTTAACTTGATAAGATATGACAGGATAAGAAATGAGATATTGTGATACGATATGGCGTGGTGTGATGATTGTATGAGATAGGATACAATCGGAGATGTGAGAACGTGATATGACATGACATAATATGGTACATACACACACACACACACGTAGTCTTCCCTCTCCGCCCTCGCATGGGGCAGGAGATGCGCGCGGGTACCGCGGCACCTGGAGATTCCAGCCACGCGAATGAAGCAGTTCTGGGCTCAGGCTGTCCCTTGGTCGCAAGCCTCGAAGGCATAGGCAGTCTTGCTGCCTGGTTGAGCTTGTGTTGCAGAATCATGGTTGTCGCACGCACTTCTTGCATGGTCTGTGTGCGGCAAGGATTGTGACCAGAGTGGCTCCATAGACTTTGCCGCTTGGGTAAGCAGCGACTGCAGTTGCTTAATGACGCATGAACCACCAGATAACCCGTTGAACTTGTTCGGCCACATGAATTTTGGGGCATGCCCGGCAACAAGTGCCGACGTTTCTGGAAGCCAATTCCCCTGCTCACTTCCTCAATGCGCAACACGAAAGCGAAGCTAAGCGGGGGAACAAGGCACGTGCGATTTCCTGGGCTGAGCCTCGCTGGAGGGCTAGGGGCATGTTTGCGGTTGCCGTTTTGCATGCAGGTTCAACCATCCCCAGAGTAGAAGCCGAAATCCAAGGCCGTTCTGTTTGAAGAAGTTACGTACCTGCACAAGTATGAACAGACTTCTCACCCCAGCTTCGAAAAGTGTCCAAGGAAGAGTTCGCCCTCTTCTACAGGAAGTTCTTTGAGGCGGATGGAGTGGGAGGATTTGCCGCCTGGTTGCCGAGAGAGTCTGTGGGGAGAACGAGACAGAGGAAAGAGGAGTGGCGACAGCAATAGCCGTGCCACTGAATGGCTGAGGAGCAGTGCAGTGGCTGTAGCATCAGCAGCAGGAGCCACAAGAGCAGCAGAAGCAGCAGGAGGAGAAGTAGTAGTCCTCGTAGTAGTAGCAGTAGTAGCAGCAGTAGCAGTAGCAGAGCAGTAGCAGAGCAGTAGCAGTAGCAGTCGCAGTCGCAGTTGCAGTCGCA